CTACTCCAACCTTTCACATATATACTCATTTTGCATACTATCTCTATAGTTAAGCCACACATTCACTTAAGGATCCTTATTTCTGCAACACTTAACTTAGTATTATGTTTTAAGGGGAATTTTTCTATCACACAATATGCTTGATGCATTCCTCCACTACAATCATGCATATAACATGAATTTTGCTAGTAATATATATATATATATATATATATATATATCATCACTATGATGAATAGACTCATGATAAGGAAGAAAGATTGACACCTCAACAAGAAAGGAACTTCATCAAATGAGGCAAGAGAAAGGAACGTGATTGAAGGAGGCCAAATAGTCACAGTGAGAAGGGAGACTGCTTTGAACGGCGAGGAAATGTGACTGAATGATGAGGAACGTCGTCAAAGGAGGCAATGTCAATGTAGGCAACATTGTCAAAGGAGGCAACGTCTTTGTTAAAATGGCAAGGAAGTGTGATTTTGGATGTTAATCATCGAAGGAGGTCTTCGAAGGAGGCATGGTCTAAGGAGGTCAAGAACACGCATAGGAAGGAACATCATTGAAGAATATAGTAGTTGATGGAGGTCCAGAATGAGCGAATAAAAGAAATGGCCAGTTAGCCAGTTTAGATAAGATTATTTGCATTAGATTTGAATCCGTCGTAAATTTGTCACAAATAATTCAATGAAAATTTTGTTGTAAACTCATCATAATTTCAGAGATGAAATTTTCTATTACAAAGTCCACCGCAAATCTACCGCAAATTATCAACTTTTCTGAAGTGAATATATAATAATTCATAATTTGAAAAGCTTAAGAATTAATGAACATAATAAACTTAAACATAAATTACTTAAGCTATTTACTTATTTTGAATTTAAACTATGCACTAATACACTAACTACTGAATTGAAGAATAAGTAATTGAGTTTAGAGAAAAAAAGTGAGTAGCTCAAATTAGGAAGATCATAGTAAACTTAAATATAAAATTAATGATATTATTAAATCTTACATCAAATCAATTTAGGGTTGCGGGAGGATGAAAGTAAAATTGATATTCAAAATCATTAAATATATACTCTACAAGTATGAAAAAAGTGAAAATATGAAAAAAAAAAGAGTGCATTAAAAAATTGGTATATGTTGAAGCCCAAGTACAAAAACATCCAAATACTTAAAACAAATAGATTATATAAGTGAGCTAATACATATTGTTGTGCACTAATGAACTTTCAATTTAACTACAAACAAAACTAATTTCTAAATAACAAATTATTCATTTTTTAAATCAAAAGTCAATCTTACACATACACTCATGGTGGAAAGATTCAATACATTCAATAACAAGGGTGATTGATTAGTGTAATTTTTTATGATTTTTGAATTAGAATCATAACTTTAATCATTCCAAATTACTATTAGCTGTGATGTATCATCTTAAATTTTAGTAATTTTAATTTGTCAAATTTTACTTTGGCTATTAAGTTAATCAATAGGTGATTTCAGCAATGCTTGAGGACAAGAAAGAGTTTATGTTAGGGAGAATTTATTAAGAATAAATGGTATTTATTGTATTAAATTTAGTAAAAATGTAATGTTTTAGTTATATTTGTATAGAAAATATTCAGAAGAAGGTAAAAGTTCATAAGTATTGAAGAAGCACCGTTGCAATTATTATTAACATTGCAGTGCCGACCTGTCGAGAATTTAAGGAAAAATTATCACCCTGGTGGATCCAAGGTCAGTGTCTTAGCACCTCACTACATTGTTATATGAAAAAAAAAAGTAGCGCTGCACTGCAGTATAGAGAAAATGAGTGCCAGAATTGATCATCGCAAGCCACAACGCTGAATTGTGCCATCAAGTGCCACAGTGCTAAATTTTTGCAGTGCTGCGGTTGAGAAATTATCAAAATGAAGAGCTATGCTAACTCAGTCAAAAGTCACGTCAATTCAACCATTAACCGTGCTAAATAAGCCCAGAGCGGCAGCGGAGCAAGCTTTAGAGCAATGAGGCGCTAGTTCATTTTATACCACCACCAATAGAGCATGCTTTCCGTGGGGCCTGAGGCCATTTCTGTACTTATATAAATAATTTTTTAGTTCTTTTATGAGAGAGTTTTGTCTTCAATGGAGTCTTGTAATTTTGAATATCTTCCTTTAGTTCCCCTAAGAGTAAAGTCTAAGAGAGGCTAGGAAACTGTAAGATACTTTCATTGGGAGATCTTAGCTTGTATTATGTAAGCAATTCTATTATTGGAAAGAGTATGGAGAATATTAATTGATTCTTCCACTTGATATTTATCTTTATTACTTCTCATGTATATTTTTCTCATAAGAATGAAATGAATATAAGTATATTTTTTGTGTTATTCATGTCTGACTAAATCTCTAAGTTTTGGGCTAGTGATGTAAACACAGAAAATACTAATATAGATTTTTGTTATTTGAATTACTTCATTTTTAATATCTCTCACTCTTAATTTAATGCATACAATGGTCATGTATATAGTTAATATCTAGTGTGATGTATTACCTCAACGGACAGTGGCGGAGCCAGGAAATATCTCTAGGGGGGTCTAAAATTTTTTTTATTATATTATTATTTTTCTTCAATTTTTTACATCCAGACTTAAGATCAATATAATCAATATTAAAAATGATAAAACTTTGTTAGTGAATTAGTTTATTTTTTTCCTTCATAAAATGACTTCAATCATACGAAGAAATATTTGAACAAATTGGAGTATTAGAATGAAATTTTGGTATATCTAGACATAGGACGTTAATCCTGCTAGGTTTTATGGAGATATTATAATTATAGGAAGGTCATAAACCTCCCTTTTCACCCCTACAAGCTTGATAGAGATTTAGGGATGTATAGGTTTTGATTTACATCTAAAATTAAGAGTATTATTAGAAAAAATATATATATTTGCATTCATTAGTCCAAAACACTTTATTTATATTAAAATCCAATTTTTTTGCAAGTCTCCATTAAATGAAAAAAGCTCAAAAATATTAATTTAGCATTCAATAGGATAAATTGTGTATTTAGATTAAATACTTATAGTTTAGTTGTAATTAAGTAGAACACTTCCTCATGAGATCACACTCTTTTTCATCACTTTATTACTTGATTGACACGTATACTTGCGCATTTAGTGGGCTTTCATTATTTTTATATCCAAAAAAAATCTAAGCATATTCATATTGCATGTTATTTATGTGTTGCTCATATCATTAACCGCATTGTCAAGCCTACACCCCATTAATTAGCTCTAGCTAGAAGGGAAGGAATGAGAGAGAAAGAGAGTGGTGAGAAGATGAGAGGGCAAGTTAAGGAGAAAACCCTAGAAGAGCCCTCTCATAGAATAATGTAAGTTTATGCTCATATCACAATATCTATTTTTAAGAGTGCCATCAATGATGAATTTGTGTAGGTAGTAAGTCTGGACATTATTGTAATTGCTTTTCATTGCGAAGGGAGACAATTGTGACTTTCATTAGGTAAAACATATGTCCTCCGACTAAAGCCTAAGGGGGAAGGTTTGATGGTTGATATGGATATGCCTAAGAGCATTAGCTCTAAAAGGGAAAGAATGGGGGAGGAAGAGAGCGGTGAGATGAGACGGGAGCTAAGGAGAAAACCCTAGAAGAGCCCTCTCATAGAACAATCCATGTTTATGCTCATATAACAATATTCAAAACTATTGTCCAAATTATGATTGCTTCCAACTAAGGCTACATATCTTTATTTCAATAACATTCAAATTCTTTGTTAGCCCATGCATATAATCTAGCAATATTAAGATATATCTATTGTAAGCAAAGTATAGGTAGTTGTAGCTTTTTTTATCCTAACGCTAATCACCAATTTTATCAACCATTAGTTTTTTTTAAAACAATTCGTCCATCTCTCCTTCAAACGTAAAAAGAAAAACTGATTTAGTATTTTATGCAGAAAATCACAAGATTACAGAGACCTCAATTATATCACCATATATAACATAGTTCAAAGAGATTTATTCTACATCCACAATTACATAGAGTTTCTTATATTACTCACATTATAATTATTACAAAGAATTTATTTTTGGTTAGGTGACTACACCCACAAAACCCAAGCTAGAATGCACTACCTCTTACAACTCTTGCCAACACTTTGAGCTGTATCCACATTAATAAGAAAAAAATTGAAACGAGACTTCAATAAAGGATCATCCTCTACTAAGCCATCAAACACAAACCATACCAACTTTCAATAACTATTATTACATCATTTGGTCATCATTCTTATAGGATTATCTCACATCTTTTTCAATAAGAAGCAATGCTGAGACCTCACCATTGAAGTTAAAGCTGCTATCAAATTTGCCCCCACCGTCCAGCTTAAGTTGATAGTTATACCTTTGCACCACCCCTTTTTGTCATTATTGAAATCTTCTCAACTATTAAGTAATATGGTTGGAGGGAGAAGTGGAAGAATTATGTGATATTTTCTTATTACTTCTTAAAGCAGCTTTTTAGTCCATAAAGCTGCTTTAAGAAACAGTAAGAAAGTCGTCCCAAATGAAGCCTAAAGCTTCGTTTGGGATGACTTTCCTATTGCTTCTTAAAGCAGCTTTCTAGCACAAAAATTAAAAATTTTGTACTAAAAAACTGCTTTAAAAAGCAGTAAGAAAGTCGTCCCAAACAAAGCCTAAAATTAGAAGGAAGGATACAAATGAATAATACCATACTCTTAAACGAGAACAATTCTAGAAATGTAGTAGGAAATAATTAACCATTTCAAACTAGGACATGAACAGTCTACAATAGTAGCAAGCTAAAAACTTGAATATGTTTACTTAGTTTTCTTTTATAGCATGATAACATGCCTGGATACATAGTAATCGGTAGATCAATATGCATATCTGGAAGTACTGCTTCAGAAGAAAAAAATAACTTGTATTCGGAAATGTATAGCTATTATATACATAAAGCTCTTCATAAGCTACTATTATTTTCTACATATTGATTATCGTTACCAATTGAATTCAGCCATGCGACTAACTGTGGAGTTAGAGGCCTATTTCTAGGTGATTCGCTCAAGCAAATGCAAGCAATATCAAGCATCTTCACCATCTGTCCTTCATTCTCTTTGTTGTAGATGATTCGATCTAAAACGTAGGCTTCCATTCCCTCCTTTCTCATCTGAAGCACCCATGAAATCAAATCCCTGCAGCTTTTAGGCTTGCTCATGTCCACTGGTCTCTTGCCTGTAAGCAGCTCCAGAAGAACAACTCCAAAACTATATACATCACCTTTGTAAGTAGCTACTGATGACTGTCCATATTCTGGTGGAATGTAGCCTAAAGTTCCAACCAGATCAGTAGTTACATGAGTGTTGTAAGGAAGAATGAGTCTTGCCAGACCGAAATCTGCCAAGTGAGCTTCAAAATTTTCGTCGAGAAGAATATTGCTCGATTTGATGTCTCGATGCAGAATATGTGGCTGGCAAGATTGATGCAGGTATGCCAATCCTCTTGCAGCTCCCTGTGCAATCTGAAGCCTTGTGTTCCAGTCCAGTGCAGATCCTCCATCAAACTTCTCATGAAGCCAGTAGTCCAAACTTCCATTCTCCATGTAAGAGTAAATTAACAGCCTATCATTCCCAATTTTACAGTATCCTTGAAGAAGAACAAGATTTTCATGTTGAGCTCTAGAAAGTGTTTCAACCTCAGCTTGAAATTCTCTATCCATTTGGCCATAATCGCCTGAGAGTCGCTTGATTGCAACCTTGCTTCCATCTGGCAGCATTGCCTTGTAAACCAAACCAAATCCTCCACAACCAATAATGTTGGACTGATCAAAATTGCCTGTGGATTTCATGATATCGCTGATGCTTAGTTCTTGCTTATCCTTGTTCTTAAACAGAATTACTAGTTTTGAACCTGCAGTTTCCAAATGACCTGAATCAGCCACCTGTTTGAACCTCTCTTCCCTTCTTCTGGAGTAATTTCTTGACAGTACGAAGTATACAATTGCAAGAAGGAAAGCTGTGCCAAGACCAATTCCAAATGCCATTCCAATTATCACACCTTTGTTCTTCCCTGGTCGGTTTATTGATTGTGTGGGTTCAACGTGAGTGCAGGCTGGGGAATGGAAGTAACAAAGGCCAGGGTTACCTTCAAAATCTGCAGCAGAGAAGGTGGAGAACTGGCCTCCAGTTGGAACTGAACCAACCAGATCATTGAAAGCTACGATGAAGCGTGAGAGAAAAGTGAGTTTCGTCAGAGATGAAGGAATGTTCCCAGTGAGATTGTTGTGGGATAAATCCAATAGCTCTAAGCTTGACATGCCGGATAGCTCCTCTGGTATTGTCCCGGAGAGTCTATTTTGGCTTAGATCAAGTTGATGCAGGGCCTTTAGATTTCCGAAACCTTTCGGGATTGATCCAACAAGCATGTTCTTGCTAAGAATCAAAGAAGGTGGGAAGCTGCTGACCTGATTATATTGAAGCCCTTTACCTGTGGTATTCTTTTTGATGAAGAAAGGGAAATCGTTCAAGGAACTTGGTTGCTCCAAATTAGCTTTGGACCTCAGTCCCTTCATGAGGGTCAAGCCATCCGGTATTTCTCCCATAAGTGAATTGTTTGAAATATCCAAATAGAAAAGATTACTGAAATCTCCCAACCAGGGAGGAATGACACCGGATAAGTTATTCCAAGAGAGATCCAATACCTTCAGCTTGGTACAGTTCTGCAGCCATGTTGGAATGGATCCTGAAAGACCACAGTTTGGAATTGCAAGAACTTCCATATTGGGAAAACCTTGAATTCCCTCGACCTGAATCTCTTCGCCATCATTGAAGTTTTTGGTGAGAACAAGATTGGTGAGGTTTGGGCAATGTTGCAGGACACTCAACGCTGCATTCAGATTGGAAAATAAGTTCCTGGAAAGCGAAAGATAAGTCAGTGAAATAAGGTTCCTGAAGCTTTCTGGGATTTCTCCAGTGAGTAAGTTACTAGCAAGATTCAGTGTCTGCAATTTTGAACAGCTAGAGAGATTGGGAGGGATCATGCCGGAGAATAAATTTGACCCAAGATCAAGAGATGTGAGCCCAGCCATTCCGGTGAAATTGAGATTGATCTCACCGCTCAAGGAATTGTTTCTCAGATTCAACACTCCAAGTCCTGACAGGTTTGATAAGGAAGCAGGAATTCCGCCCGAGAAACGATTGGATTGAGCACTGAAGCATTGCAACTCTTTTAAATTCCCAACAACATTTGGGATATTATCGGAAAATTTGTTGAACGAAAGATCCAAATGCACAAGGTTAGATAGATTGCTAATCCGATCGCTTAACCTCCCGAATAGCTGATTACCCTCAAGATATAATTTTGACAAAGATTTCAGCTTGAATATATCCTCCGGTAAATTACCAGTCATCTCATTCATGCCCAGGGAGAGCTCACGGAGCGAGCTGCAGTTTCCAAACCCCACCGGAAGCTCACCAGAAAACAAATTCATGGAAAAGTAAAGAAACTGAACTCCAGGAGATGCGTTGCAGATTTCGGCATCGATGCCGCCGGAGAACAAATTGTTACTGATATCGAACAAGGTGAGAAGTTTCGAGCTCCCAAGGTTTGGGCGGCTGCCATTAAACATGTTTCCTGAGACATTGAAAACTTGTATGGAAGCGAGAGTGATGTTTGCTGCAATTGGCCCAGAGAGGTCGTTCATGCTGAGGTCGAGAACCTTCAAGCTCTGCAGCTGGAAGATGCCAAAAGGAACGAAGCCTTTCAGAGAATTTTGCGAAAGATTCAAAGATATAAGCTGATCCAAAGCTCCGATAGAATTCGATATAGAGCCTGAAAGGCTTTTGTTCGCAAGATTCAGGTGAGTGACTCGCCGGCCGGAATTCGACTCAGGGCCGCATTCGACTCCGGTCCAGTTGCAGCAGTTCGAGGAAGCGTTCGCGGTCCAGGATGACAGTGATGACGGCGAGTCCAGACCATCGGCGAAGCCGATAAGCGCGGCGACGTCGCCGGAGTAACAAATCAGGCTCTGGGATCGAACAGTGAGGAAAAAGAACAACCACCACGCGTGCATCCAAACCAACGCGCCGTTTTCCATTTGCATCTGTTCTTTGAACGCGAAAACGCAGTGGAAACAGATAAAGGAGGGATTTTTAAGATCAGGATGGATTGAAGAAGAAAAGTATTCGAGATTCCCATGAAATTTTCGCCATTGAGGGAGATGAATCGAACGAAGAAGCAGAGTAATATTGATATCAGAGAGTTTGGTTTTGACTATTGCGACTTGGGGGCGTGAGTTAATTAATTATACACCGAGTAAAGTTTCCCTTTTTAATTATTTATTTTTTGGTGGTGGATTGTCTACGATTGTTAGGTTGGATGAATGCGGAGGGGTTGAGCGTTGGAGCGGACGAAGAGGTTGAGAGGAGAAGATGACTGGCAGTAGGCTGTCGTTGTCATGCCATGACCGACGGTTCCGGTTACATTGCTCAAAGTCAAAACCGGTCTCCCATTTGCATGATCATGCGGCGGCTGGTAGGTTAAATTGTGCCTCCGGAAGCGTTTACATAGTCTCATCCCAAGGTTCTGTTCTCAGGAAGTCGACGAACGGCGGAACTGTTTACGAGATTTTATGGCTTGCGAGGGTGAATGTTCCGGCGGTTCAGTTCAACGTTTGAGTAAAGTACAACTTATATATAAAGGAAGGCGGCAAGTCAGACCGAAGCCCTACGAGCCATTGACTTAAAGCTCAGTCGTTTGAATAATGTTAGAAAGTACGATACATTGGAACCTTTATTTAATTTTTTATTTTTGTTGCCTCAAGGAGTTTTCACGGCGGTAGAAAAAGATACAATTTAACGTCTCAACGTTATACAAAAATCCGGTACGTAATCAGATAAGAAAGAGGATACAATATTAAAGGAGTTACCAAGATTTTTACGTAGAAAACCCCTGAAAAAGGGGGAAAAACCACGGGGTCTAGCCCAGTTTTAATGAATCAACTAGTATTGCAGTTGATTACAAATGAGGCCATTTCTTGGGAGAAGGCCTTAGCTTGATGTACATTTTATAGAGTACATTATATGATGTGCATACAAAGAGTCACTAATGACGTATTCGTTTGGTCTGGAGAACCATAGTCTGGTGACGGAGGTTAGAAGAACCATAGTCGGTGAGCGACAAAGGTCATAAAGACCGTTGTCTGGCGATGAAGGTCGGAAAGACTGTAGTCTGCAGGCGACGTAACTTAGGTGGAACGTAGTCGGCGGACGACGGAGGTCGGAAAAACTGTAGCCGACGAGTGACGTAAGTCAGGAGGACCGTAGTCGGCAGGCGACGGAGGTCGGAAAGACTGTAGTCGGTGGGTGACGTAAGTCCGAAGGACCGTAGTCGGCTGGCGACGGAGGTCGGAAGGACTGTTGTCTAACGAAGAAGGTCAAAAGGATGGCGTTAGGTAGAAGTCCAACAATGGAAAGAAATTCCATTTCGAATAGATGTCGAGCGAAAGTACGATAATTGGTAGAAGTCCGGCATCGGGTAGAAACTTGGCGACGAGTGAAGGTTCGGCGTCGGGTAGAAGTCCGACGTCCGTTGGCGGTCGAGGAGAACTTCGGCATCACTTGGGCGGAGTTTCAGCGTCAGTGGGGGACTCTGTCATTACTTGGGCAGAATTTCAGTATCACATGAAAGTCGGGCAGAATTCTGGCGTACCGTGGAAGTCGGGCAGAATTCCGGTGTCATTTGGAGTTCGGGCGGAACTCCGGTGGTGGTTGAGGAGGAGTTTCTTCCCTCCTAATCTTCTCTCTTTTCTTCTCCTTCTTCTCTTCTTCCTCTCGCTTGGGTCCCCTCTCATGAGAAATGAGGGGTCTATTTATAGATTTTTTGGAGTGGCATGGCCCGTAAATAGATGATAGATCAGGGGCAAATGTGGAGTGGTTCGATGGACTGCCGATATTGAATCCCTTGATCATGGATCGTTTATCAGGCATTTAAATGTCTTAATGAATTCAGAATTCAACGATCTTGGGCTCGTTGGAATCATCTCGTCAAGTCACTCGATTCGACTATAAGCATGTCATGTTTGAAAACATTTTGGTAACTCAAATTGTGGTTTGAACCTTCCATTAGCGCTTTGAGTCCTTCATTTGGACTTATTTGGGCTCAGATTGAGTCGATTTTGATGTTGTTTGGTTTGTATTTCCGAGACGATTAGTTCGACAATAAGTTTGCTGAAATTGGAGTTCATACGATCCCATAATTAATTTTTGAAGTTTCCAACTTGATTTTTGCGCCGAGATTCGTGCCCGATCAAGATAATTTTATAATGACATATCAGTTGCCCCCTATTTTCGGATGTCGAACCTCCAGAAGTCCAAAAATATATATGTCGATATTTTGCATTGGCCGAAACACAAAAAATTGCGTTCCAAAAATTAAATGCTTGCTCAAACTTGATCATAAAGGCACCGTTGAGCTTTGAAAGTATCAAAATTGAGTCTGGAACAATGAAAAATGTGTTTGGGGACCCCAAAAACGTCAAATTTGGAACGTCCAGGCTGAAAATGGGGCCCGGACACGTGTGGACTGCCGAACCGGCCGGCCGGCCGCCACCCAATGCCACTGCCGACAGCGGCATGCGCACCCCCCGCGAAGAGTCGCGACCCGAGCGAAGAGCCGAGACCCGTGCGGTTCCTCGGCTAACTGCCGCGATTAGAGGCTGGCGGTTAGAGTATTTTATTTTATTTTATTTTTCTGTGTGACCCACATGAGTCAAAAAATTCTGAAAAATTCTTAAGAAATTCCAAAAAATTCCAGAAAATTATGAAAAAATTTAGAAAAATTTAAATTTTTTGAAAATTCTAGAAAACTCTAGAAACTTTCCCCTTCTCCCAAAAAAAATTATAAATAGACCCCTAGGGCTAAGAGAAAAATTGCACCTTCTCTTCTTCTCTTTCTGGCTCTCTAACAGTTGAGGCTTTCCGCTGTTTTTGAGTATGTGACTTTTTTTACTCAATTTAGCGCCCCTCCTCTTGTACAAAAGTTAGAAATTTTTCTTCTTTCTTCTTCTGGCTTTCTGGCAGTGGAGGCATTCTGCCGTTTTTTGTAGGTGACTTTCCCTACATAAATTGGCACCCCTCCTCTTGTACAGAAGTTAGAATTTTCTTATTTTTCCTTCTTTCTTCCCATTTTTCTTCTTGCTCTAAGTTCTTCTGCTATTTTTCGTAGGTGACTTTCCCTACTTAAATTCAGCGCCCCTCTTTAGTAAAAAAGGAAAATTTTTCTCTTTCCATAGTCTTCTCCTATGACTATCTTCTTACAGTTAAGGCATTCCATTGTTTTTCATAGGTGACTTTTCTTACTGAAATCGGCGCCCCTCTTTAGTAAAGAAGAAAAATTTTTCTCCTTCCAGGGTCTTCTCTTATGACTATCTTCGTACAATCGAGGCATTCCGTTGTTTTTCGTAGGTGACTTTCCCTACTGAAATCGGCGCCACTCTTCTTGTAAAGAAGTTAGACTTTTTACAGTCATTTCTTTTCTTTCTCTTCCCTCATTCTAACTTTCTTACAGTTGAGGCATTCCCTTATTTTTTTTTTTTTTGCGGTATCCTCTACTAAAATTTAGGGCCCCTCTCCGTGTGTAGAAGTTAGAATTGTTGCTCCTTATTCTTCTCTTATGTTCTTCTTCTTATATTGGAGGCATTTCACTGTCGTAAATAGGCGGCATTTCTCTATCGAGCTTCAGTGCCCCTTTCTTATATAGAAGGAGATTTTTTCCTTCTTATTCTTCTCTTGCGAACTTCTTCTTACATTGGAGGTATTCCACTGTCGGTGATAGGCGACATTCTCCTATCGAGCTTCAGTGCCCCTCTCTTGTATAGAAGGAGACTTTTTCCTTCTTATTATTCTCTTGCGAACTTCTTCTTACATTGGAGGCATTCCACTGTCGGTGATAGGCGACATTCTCCTATCGAGCTTCAGTGCCCCTCTCTTGTATAGAAGGAGATTTTTTCCTTCTTATTCTTCTCTTATGAACTTTTTCTTACATTGGAAACATTCCACTATCGATGATAGGAGACATTCTCATATCAAGCTTCAGTGCCCCTCTCTTGTATAGAAGGAGATTTTTTGCTTCTTATTCTTCTCTTGCAAACTTCTTCTTATATTGGAGGCATTCCACTGTCGGTGATAGGCGACATTCTCCTATCGAGCTTCAGTGCCCCTCTCTTGTACGTAAGGAGTAACGAGGAGAAGCTATCTTCTTAAAAGATGATTCTTGATAGAAGAAGATCAATTGATGCTTGTATGCGAGGGTGATTTGAGAAGATCTGGCGTTAATAGTACTCGGGAGGAGAGCCAGTAGATGGGGAGAATTTTGATATTATTCGAATGGAAGTTTGTCGGCAATGGACGATCGAGTTGAAGCCCACTAGTAGTCAACGATCGAGTGTAGAGTTGAAGGAGAGAGTTTGAGGGTGCGCTGCGAGTAGCAGTCGAACGAGAAATCGATGATGGCTGATATGAAGTGAAGGACCACTGGCAGATATCAAACGAGTAACCGATGATGATAGGAGTCTAGTGGCATTTTGCCAATGCAATATGCATCCGTACTGAAGCATACCAATAACAAATATCCCTAAGTCAAGGGGCCAGAGCAGTGCGTTATGCAATCATTATGGCAATACATTAATATTGCTGACTGAGTAGATGCCTGATGAAGATCAAATTGTAATATTCCTTTGAAGAAGAAGTTGTAGGAGATGCTTGTGTGCAACAAAGAAGAAGTCACTAAATCTACTAAGGATATTTGACTATTTTGAAGTTGTTTGTTGTTTGATGATTGTAACTTGTACAAATGATGTCAATGTACTTTTTTACTTTCAGATTCTTATAAAAATAATCTTGATGTACAATCTTTTGCAATGTAACTCCAACAAATTTGAGAACTTGTCACTTAGATGGAGCTGAATTGTTATTACATCTTTGAGACATCCATAATATGCTTTGATATCTTGCCCCCCATATTTTTGGAGGCACTGTTAGACTGCTAAGATCTTTATATGAGTGATGATTTTATCAATCACTTGCTTTCATAAGATATTCTTTCGAGAGAATGTTCACTTAGAACATCGCTTGATGATGCCGACCTCTGAAGAAGAGGGTGCGAGAGTCTACTGAGAAAGTATGACTTATCTGAGGTTGTATGTCAGAGCACCGCTCGATGACATTAACCTTTGTGGAAGAGGTTGAAAGAATCCATTCAGAATATGAGGCCTTTCCGAGGTTGTATGTCAGAGCCTTTGCTCGACGACATTAACCTGCATGGAAGAGGTCGAGAGAA